TTCTCATGCCAATATGCCGCTCGATACGTCTCCGCTCACCGGCGAGTGCGGCGCGCAAGCGCCGCTCTCGCCGGCGCGCGCAGGCGCGAGGGCGCGTCTTTTGCCGCGCTTTAGCAGGCAGCGTTTTGCTACGGCTCGCTGTCGGCGCAGATCTGGGGCCGCGGCGGCGATGGCGACGGCGGCGGCGGCGGCAGCAGCCTTGGCCTCGGCAGGGTCGGGTCGGCACGTCGCGCGGCGGGCCCGAGCCCGGCGCAGAGTCGGCAGCGCTGTGCGAGGCAGGGGAGGGGTGCGTCGAGGTCGACGGGCCCGACGGGCCCGACGCCGACGCGCTACTGTCGCGGGCTTCAGGTCCGCAGCTCTGCGACGAGTTCCACTCGCCCGGCCCGGGCGGCCCAGCAGCGCCCGTGTTGAACGGGAACGGCAGCGGCTCGCCGCGGCGAGGGCCTGATGAGACAAAGATGAGCGGGCGGCATGCCTTCTCGCGGTACATAAGCGAGGAGTTTTGAAAGTGCGCAATGAGGGCGGCCTTGCCCTGGATGCGCGCAGGCGAGATGGCGCAGACCTTGAACGAGTTGAACGACGACCACTTGACGCCGTCAAACGCCTTCGCAAACGCCGCCACGGTCTGCGACTCGATAAAGTTGATGAACGCGTACCCGAGGTTGCACTTGTTCTTAAAGTCGATGGGCAGGTAGAAAAAGTCGTACGTGCCCTTGAACGACTTGTTGATCACCTCGAGCAGCGACGCCGCAGAGTGCTTGTTCGGAATGTTCCGCATCATCACCGTGTGGATGTCGGCAGAGTCGAGCGAGAGGTCCGGGTCCGGTTGCTCCGCCGCCCGCGGCCGCGCAGACGCCCGCACCGCCCCGCGCCCGCCGCGCACCCCGCGCCGCCCGCCGCCCACATGGAGCTGCGCAGAGTACTTGGCGTACGACTTGCGCCCGGCAGCCCAGCCGGCCACGCTCTCCAGCCGCTGCTTGTGGAAGACCGCGTACGGGCCGGGGAAGATCATCGTCGAGAGGAGCGATGGCACAGGCTCGGAAGCGCCCTCGTACACAAACTTGAGCAGCGTCTGCCCAACCTCGGCAAAGTACGACCGCACCATCGGGTACTTGTAGCTCTGCCGGCAGATGTCGTTCGACGCAGACGGGTCTTCGATCGAAATGAGCTCCGGTCGCGACGGGTCCAGCCACCGCCGGATCGACTTGGGGAACAGATACCCGCCCTGCAGCACGGAAATCGCCTGCGTGTAGTCAAAGTCCAGCGAGTAGTACTGCAGAAACTGCGTGAGCCGCGCCCCAAGCACCATCCCAGACAGCGTCGCCGCGTCGCTCGCAGCCATTGGTCTCAGTTGCTCAAACGAGATGAGCATGAGAATGAGTGCGTGCGATGAGAGTCCTCCAGAAAACACCTGGTTGAGGTTGCTCTGCTTGAGGAACGTCTTGAGCACAAAGTACAGCGCCTTGAGCTCGGGAATGGCATACAGCGACTGCCGCACAAACGACACGTTCTCCACAGCTCCCAGCACGTCAAAGCAAATGTCTACCGTCAGCCGCGAGTACGCCTCCACAAACTGTAGCAATGGAATCCGCGACGCCCCGCGGACCTGAACCTCGTCGTCCGTCGTGATCTCGTCTTGCACAAGCGCCTCCTTCAGCATTTCCAGTCGCACAGGTCCAAGCGTCATGTCCGTCCCAAGCACAACAAGGTCGATGTCAGAGTCAAACAGATACAACCCCGTCGCCACAGACCCGCACACAAGCACACGCGCCTCTGGCCAGAGCCCGACAACAACCTCGGTGATCCGCCCGATGATCTTGGCCCGCATCTGCTCCTCCGCCTTGGTTGCAGACACATGCTTGGAAAACTCTTCGATCTCCGCATGCAGTCTGTTCACACATCACCCGCCAACCAGCACAGTCGTTGCCGTCATCGTCAACATCACCATCACCCACAGTGAGTCTCTCTTATCTACTTGAAACCCGCACCCGCCACTCCATCATCTCTTGGCCTGCTGCTCCCTTCCCTCCCTCGGCTCGGACCCGATCTCGCTCTGCACAGCGCTGTCTGTGGGGAGGGGAAGGACAAAAGAAAATGACACCGACAGGAGCAAAAACTTGCATGTCAGCCGTCGTCGTCACCACTCCCAGGCCACCAAGGTCAAGGCCACCAAGCATCACAGCGAACAGGCCTTGGCAGCAAACATGCCCAGGCGTTGTGCAGAGCTTAAAAGCAGAGGTTGGAGGTGTGATTGAAGGGTGATGAACAACCACGACTATTCTCCCTGCTGCTCTCAAGAGCTGGGGAGAAAGAGAGAGAGAGAGCCCAAGAGGGAGGGAGGGGGGGGAAGCCGAGGGGGAAGGGGGAGCCAGCCAGCTGTCACATGGGAGGTTGCCGGTCAGCACACACAGGCGTAGCACAGGCGGTTGAAAGCTCCTACCCCCCTCACCATCACATCATCACCATGGTGTATGACTTCCCCACAGGTGTAGGTCATTACAACAACACCAATGTGGCTCATGATGATGGTAGAGGGGGGGGGGGGGGGGAAGGGGGGGGGGGTCGGCCACGAGGGTGACGGCCAAGGAGCGACAACCAACCGGGGGAGGAAGGGAGAGGCAATGGTGGCCGTTCCAGGTGGCCAATGATAAAATCATTGACAAATAATGGTTGGACGGGGAGGGGGAAAGGGAGGGGGGGGGGGGGGGGGGCGGCTGGCTGGGGGGCGCTGGCTTGGCTTGGTGTGGCGCGGAGGCGACTGAGGGCGCCTGCAATTTTTGTCGACGTACGACTGAAAGGCCTCGACATGGTTAGAGGCCGGGTATGCAGACCTGGAGGCCCAAATGGCAGGAGCAGGACCAGGAGGGAGATGCTCAGAGGAAGTAGACGTTGTGTCTGGCTTGGCAGAGTTGGTTCCAGAGGGGGAGGCTTGGTTTGCTGGCGAAGACTCGAAGGTCACCTCTCGGTCGACTTGCTCGTCCACAGAGGTCGAAGCAACACCCGGCGAAGAGTTGGATGCCGAAGAGGGAGACGAAGAAGGAGATGAGCCAGGTGCGACGACACCAGAAGGTGCTTCATCCACACTTGCTTCCCCTCCTTCTTTCTCTCCTCCTTTGCCCCCTTAAGCGGGTTGTTCGACCAGAATGACGCCGGGTCGCTCGCCACACCGCCGCCCTCGCCCGTCCTCTCGCTCGCCGCACTCATGGCTCAACCAACGAAAGACGAGTCTTGACCGTTTTTCTCGGAACGCCCTCTCCTTCTCGCCTCACCGTGGCACCCGGGCTACGGTTGCAGACCCCGCAGAGAGTTCACAGCAGTCGTATCCATCGTATCCACAGCTTGAGCACTCGGTGGTCATCGTCATCACTTTGATTGCTAGCAGTTTGTGGCAGCATCGCTTGTTGCCTGCGTGGTGCGAGTGTTTTTGAGCACAATCGCTTCGTTGGGCTCGGCTCGGGCGAGGCATGCGAGGGAGAAATGGAGGCGGACAAGAGGCAAATGACAGAAGCTGTCTTCAATTTGAGTACACCATGGCGGGCGCCCAGGAGGCGGTTAGTCGCGCAGAATCTGGACAATGACAACAGTCATGTTGTCGCAGCCAGTTCCGGATATGGAGGGCGAAGGCGCCAGGCACTTCATCATGAGCTCCGAGCAGATGTTGACGAGTTCCTCCTCGGTGGCGCGCTGCGGGATGCGCTCGCGGACAAAGTCGATGACCTGCTGCGAGGTCATGCAGTCCCAAATGCCATCACAGGCGACAACAAAGAACTCGTCTTCGGGGGTGACGTCAAGGGCGAGGACGTCCGGCAGGGCGGTGACGGCCTGCTGCTCCGCAGGGAGCGACGAGTTCTGCTTGAACGCATGGTCGCCGATCGCCCGCGAGAGCGCGAGCGAGCCGTTGACGCGCCCTAGCGACACAAAGCCGCCGGCGGCGGTGATCCGCGCCGACTCTTCCTTGTTGTCGGGCTTGTGGTCCTCCGACAGGGGCACGGCCGTACCGCCCCGTGAGAGCACCGCGCGCGAGTCACCGGCGTTGGCACAGTACAGCTTGTGGTCATCCACGTTGATGGCCACCACCACAGAAGTCGCTCCTGACGGGTCGTTGGCCAGGAGCGGGTCATCAGAGTCGAGGATGTCCTGGTCCGTGCCCAGGAACCCGTTCTTGAACGCCTGCTCGTAGTTACCAGCCTTCCACTCTGGGTCCGACACCACACGCAGGTGCAGCGCCTCGCCGCAGTACTTAGAGACCCGCGAGCCGCCGTGCCCGTCAAACACCGCAAACATCGCCCATCCAGGCGCACCCTCGAGGCTCAGCAGCGCAGTCTCCGCGTCCTCCATGTGATTGCGCCATCCCTATCATCAATCCCATCCGCACATCCATCCATGTCCCGAAGTGATCCCCATTGCGACCGACGCAGGTCGTCCAAGTGTGTTGCCGAGCGGCGAAGACAGACAGACACGCGCACGCGCACCACCAATAATATCAGCCCGACAGCCCCACACCAGACAGAGTCACACACACCAAACCATGCCATCACCATGAGTCTTGTCCAAACGTTTCAGTTGGCAGAAGGAGGGGAAGTGGGTGCCAGGCGAGGGGGGCTCACGCCATGCCCACTTGGGGACGACGTCAGCCCCCGAGAATAAGTCGGGCAAAAAGTGTTCAGGCGAGCGGAAGCGATACGCGAGGGGAGGGGGGGGGGGGGGGGGGGTGGAGGGGGAAGGGGAAGGGGGGAAAAGGGGAAGGGGGGAAGGGGGGAAGGGGGAGGGGGGAAAGGGGGGGGGGGGGAGGGGGAGGGACGCTGAAGGCAGCTTGGTGTGGTCTGTATAACCTGGTGTGGCGTGGTCAAAGCAGGAGCGGGGGTAGACGCGACAGGGAAGGCGGTGGAAGGGCACGACAGTCATAGTTGGTCGAGGATGGGGGCAACGATTAAAGCAACGTTTGCCATTGATTAACAGGTCAAAAGTAGAGGAACAGTCGTTCATCCAGGTTTCGGCAGGGGCCGAGAGAGGGGGGAAGGGCGAGCAAGGGGAAGAAGGAACTAACGTGTAGAGTTTGGAGCAATAGGACCAGATACCCATGGGCATGAAAAGGGGTGGCATGTATGTGGGAAGGTGGTCATGGGCTGTATCTGGTGCTCCCTGCTCTGTGGCTTTGGTATGGCATAAGGTTGCATGGGAGGGAATGTGGCCCGCACCGCCACCCACCCACTCTCTCACTTGGCGCCCAGCAGCAGCAGCAGCGAGAGCAAGGCGCAAGGAGAGGGGGGGGGGAGGCACCCGCTGGCCAAGGGAGACAGCAATAAAAATCAACCACGTACCTGCATGGATGCTGAAGCAAAGATGAGCTGGTCACTCTGTCCAGAATGAGTCGTCTGCTCCGTCACGGGCTTGGAAAGAAGGGCGCCCATGCCGGTTGGTGCTGGAGTCGGGTGCCGTCTTCTCCGGTCGCCGCTGCCGCGAACTCGTCGACGAGTCGTTGACGGAGCAACCAGGCCAGGCCAGGGGGCCGACTTGGTTGGATGGTAGTCTGATATGCTTCATCCGGAATCAATGATGGTATAAAGTGGGTGAAAGGGGGAGGGGGGATGGTTGTGTGCGTGCATGTGCCTGTGCCTGTGTGTGTGTGTGTGTGTGGATTGATGATGTCGATGGTCATCGCTAGTGCCGGGCTCAATTGGCGAGACCGAGCTTGGCGCGGATGCGGATGCGGGAGGTGAGCGGGGGAGGGGGTGAATACGGTGTATGGATCCGATGCAGGGGATGGGTGTGGGGTTGGAGGGATCAGGCCGCCGATGTTACTGCATGGAGACGGTCGTGCTAGCGCGGGACCGACAGCATTGGATCTACCCGTGGTGCGGCCACGATCATAGCTTTGTCACTATCCTCATCCTCTCTCCCGCACCAGATTGTTGTCCAAAGCGCCCGTCATGGTCGTGGAGAGGAGCTCGGATCAGGTTCTGAGACAGCTTGAAGCAAGGGCTTGCTTGGCGAAGCGAACTCGTTTCGACCGGCTGGTGGCGTCGGACCGGCGACATGGGGGGGGGCGGCGAGTGGGAGAAAAAAGGCGCCAAATTCCGGCGCCAAATCTCGTTCATTGGGGACATTCAACGCTTCGGACACGCACGAGGGGACATGCCACGGACAGCGTCATACTACGCGGAAGCAAGCGGAGGACGACAGAGTAAGGCAACAGAGTTCTTCAACAAGCAAGCAGGCACATCTGGAGGGCGTGGTGTGGCCAAAGATGCTCTTGGTGGCGGAGCCGAGGCCGGAATGTGGACGGGAGCGGCGGGCGGGCGGACGCCGACCAAGTCGCGGAGTGTGGCGCCAAGAGGCGACACGGTCCGGGACGAGCTGCGGAGGGCAAGCAAGGCGAGGCTCGGGAGCGGCAGCGGAGGAGGAGGAGAGAGTACGGGTGGCTCGCTCAAGCTCGCGGAGCTTATGGAGGGCGACGAGGACATTGCTAGGGTGGTCAAGGCCGACGCGGTGTACGACAACCTGACGACCGACGAGTCGGCCATCATCGATGCGCGGGTGGCTCGTCAGCGGCATGCGTACAAAGAGTTCGAGAAGCGGGAAAAGGCGCTGAAGAACACCCGCGTCCGGCACATCCACCCGCACCTAACGGCGGCAGAGGTCGAGATCGCGTTGGTGCAGACCGACGGCGACGAGGCCGAGGCTACGACCCGGCTCCTCGATCCAGTGTTTGTGGCCCAGGTCCGGCACGTCATTGCCGACGCATCGACAGTGTCGGAGCGGTCGGCCATTGCGGCGTACTACGAGTCGGTCCTCGCCACCGCGGCGCTCAAGATGGCGGTGCCCGGCGCGCTGAAGGCTGGGCGCGAGGCCGCGGCCAAGGAGGCCGAGGCCGCGGCGGCGAGGAAGGCGGCCAAGGAGGCGGCCAAGGCGCGGGCGGCGCCCAAGCGGACTACCTCCCAAGAGACCAAGGCCAAGACGGCCGAGTACCGGCGGCGGCTCAACCTCGACGCCGCGCTGGCGCAGGGCAACACCGAGGGGTGGTCGGCGGCGCGGGTCCACGCGTACGAGCAGATCGGAACGAACCCCAACGCGTACTACTACCGGTTCAACGCACCCGGCGAGAAGCAAGGCCGCGGCAAGTTTTCGGCCGAGGAGCACGCACTGTTCATGGCGCGCCTCGCCGAGGTCGGCGCCGCGGGCCAGTGGGGCATCTTCGCCATGGGCATTCCTGGCCGGGTCGGCTATCAGTGCGCCAACTACTACCGCCAGCTCATCGAGCGCGGCATCGTGTCGGACCCAGACTACGAAATTGACGACCTCGGCAAGGCGCACTACATCTCCAAGGGCAAGCGACTCATCCACTCGGCCAAGCGCAAGCGCAAGGTCGAGGCCATGGGCATGGACCCCGAGTCGCAGGCCGCGCGCGCCATCATCGAGGGTCGTGCTCCGCCCATCACCGAAGCCCGCCGCGACGCCAAGCGGCGCAAGCTACTCGAGGCTGCGCCAGCCGGCGAGACCCTCGGCCCGGCGCTCAACACCGCGGTCATCACGGTCACGTCGTCGCGCAAAAAGACTTCGGGCACGCGGCAGTCGGCCGAGGTCCTTGCTCGCGTGGCTCAAGCCAAGGCGACCAAGGCTGAGGCCAAGCGGCTGGCCCGCGCCGCCAAGGCCGCCGAGGCTGCACAGAAGCGCGCAGCCCGGGCAGCAGCCAAGGCGGCCCGCGACAAGGCCCGTGCCGAGGCCAAGGCCCGTGCGGCCGCCGAGCGGGCGGCGGCCAAGGCGGCCAAGGCAGCAGCCAAGGCGGCGGCGGCTGCCGCACGCAAGTCGTCGTCGGCCCGTCGCCGCCACCGACGCAAGGATGAGGACGACGACCCCGAGTCGTTTGTGTGGAAGCCTAGCACCGGATACTACTCGACCAAGCGGCTCCGCGGGCTCAACCCGGACACGCCGACCGAGCAGCTCGGCAACCCGCTGCCGGGCGTCCGCGACCCGGTGACGCTCGAGGAGGTCGAGTCGCCTGCCATGTCGCCGTTTGGACACGTCATGTCGCACTCGACCTGGCGCATGTGCCTCGCTGAGAAGCCCAAGTGCCCGTTCACTAACGCCCCGCTCACCCTCAAGGATCTTGTTGTCCTCACCCACGCCAACATCGAGGAGTTCCGCCCACGCATCGTCAACCTCTAGCTGCCTCCCGACCACGCTTCACCGGCCCATCATCCCGCCCATCATTCCACCCATCATCATGGCCATGATCTGCGACCGCATCTCCGCCGCCGCCGCCGCCACTTCCTCGCGCACAATGCTCCGGATGGCTGCCTCCTGCTCTTGTGTGAACGCCCCGCCGCCTACCGGCGCGGACACTGCCGGAGGCATGATCGGCCCACTGCTCGCCGCTGGCGGAACCGGCTGCGGCACGCGCCCGACAACCGCTTCCTGCTGCTCAACCATGCTGCGAAAGGCCTGCGCTTGCGCGCTCAGCTCGACACCATCGAGCAGGTGCGCAACAGCTGCACGGTCGACACCACCCGAAACAGGCTGCGGTGCTGCAGAGCCTGCCGTCACCGTCTCTACCGCCAGGGCGTCGACCGCACACAGCGACTTGATCCGCCGCCCCGCAATCGTCGCACGCACTACCTCGGCCCGTGGGCCCAGAGGTGGCGCGGTGTGGAGATAGAGCGCGTCAATGCCGGCCGCAACAATTCTGGCATCTGCTTCAGCAAGTGCGAGTTGCTCGCCACGCGACGACCCGGCGTACTGCCACTCGTCGACCTGCGCCCTGCGCGGCGCCGCACCCTCCGCCTCTCTGCTCCCAGGCATCTCGCTACTGCCGGCGATCTTCGCCATCAACGCCTCCATCGACGGCATTTCCCCACCATAGTCAAACGCTACACCACTACCCGAGTCAGACTCTACGGCAAGACCACCCGACGCACGTGGCCGGTCATGGCCGTCAAAACGAGTGCGGTCGTCAGCCGATGTCCGTCGCCTCACGTGCCACTCGATGACTCTACCGGAGGCCAGAAGCGAGCAAGCAGCGAGAGAGCCATGTTTGGGCATGAAAGTCAGGGAGCAGCGAGGTAGAGGACCATTCTCAACCGGTACCACTTTCCATACCATTCCCAGCTCTGTACGGAGCTGGAGAGTCCATGCCTCGGACGCTCGCACCTCGAGACCGTTCACCTCTTGCACCGAGTTGGTCACCTCTACCACCGATACGCACTCCTCCACGACTGACACACTCTTCTGCACGCCATCGTCTACCACATCTGCCATGCCACTGCTATTCGTCAGATCAAGAGAAAGGTGTACTGCTGGAATTGTTATCTGCTGCTTTGGGAGCGGGTACCGGTGAAGGTGGCTAGCCTTCTCTGCCGTGGGATCGATCCCTCCTGCCTCGAGCTACAAGGACGTGTGTGTATGGGGGGGTAGGGATCGTGATCGTACGCCCCTCCCCCCCCCCCCCCCCGACTGATAGGTCCGATGGCTACAAGTAGCCGGTTGACATCGAGTGCTGTGCATATGTTGTTGATCGCTTGTGCTCTGGCCAGGAGCCCGCGGACTTGGCAGAAGCAGAGTGTACACATTGGGTGCCCCTCCCCCCTCCATCGCAGCTTGCCATCATGCGCTCGATGCTCACAATCACCTGGCCAACAATGATGTTATCTCTTACACATCCGATCATCATGGCGTATACCGTTCCATGGGCGAGACCCCACAACGAGACGGTGCCATGATCGTATGCGCGAGAGCGAGTACCTGGTTGTGAGCAACCACATCGCTCCTTCGCACCTCGACCATCGCCTCCGATGGTCAAAGCATGCGACTAGCAACAACCGAGTCCTCCATAACACATTACCATCGCATCCAGCATGACCATGTTCTGGTGCGAGGTCGGAACCATCGGGATGGGGTAGGTGTGCCGGGAGACACGACCAGAGAGGCTAAAGTCAGCGCTCTTGGCATGGCGGCCGTCGGTGGAGAAGATGATGTGGGACGAGTTGAGGACACATTGCGACACGCATCTTACGTGGACATATGTCTGGGCGAGACCGAGCTATTGCAGCACTGGTGGACCTTGAAAGAGATGATGAGGTTGTCAAGATTCTCATCATTGTCGGCGTGTTCCCGTCGATGGTGGTGTGCAGGCTTTCGGCGGAGATGATGAGCCAGGCAAACCGGATCACTGCAAACCGGACGGCAGGCTTGCCAGATGACACAGACAAGAGCCACGAGCCACCAGATCTGACCTGCCAGAACGCTTCGCTCCTCGACCATCATCACGTCGACGAAGAACTTTGAGTGTTTGGAGATGATGTGGATGACTCGCTCACCTGTCGTTTGATGAACAGAAAACCATCGAGTGAGCGATGACGGCAGCGGCGAGTCAACGGACAAAGACTCAACTGTCCATGGGAGCCGGGTGCCGCAAAGGACCAAGGGGAGGAGAGGATGGGTTTGAAGGCGTTGGAGTAGGGATGGGAGGGCGGGCGAATGGGGTTGGGGCCTCTGGTGGTGGTGGTGGTGGTGGTGGTGGTGGTGGTGGTGGTGGTGGTTCTGGTTCTGGTGGTGGTACTTCGGGACACGGTGGTGGTCATGGTGGTGGTCATTCTGGTCGAGGTCGTCGAGGTGGTGGTGGTAGGGGGTATGGAGAAGATGGTTGGTATGGTGATGGTACAGGATTGGGAATGAGGAAAAATTCATCGTTGGCAAGGTTGCATACTCGGACACGATCACTGAGGGAGATCTCAGAGCAGAGACTCTCAGCCATCATGACTGCCGCTGTAGCCGGTCCCGGCCCGGACTCTGACGGCTGGGAAGCGCTCGAGTCGCTTGGTCTCGCTCGCGCCGAGTCGTACTCTGTGCCTTCACTCGCTGGTTCGGTCAGCGTCCTGCCCAAGGACTCGATGGTGGCTGATAGCGAGGAGCTGAATCGGACCGTGGCCGAGATGGCGGCGGGCAAGCGGCAAGTTCGAAATGGGGACCTGGCGACGCAGTCGTTCTTTGTCCCGACAGCCAGACAGAGGCGGAAGCGTGCCGGAAGCAACGATAGCACGCGTAGCGAGCGGCGGATAAGTCTCGGTGGCTTGATGGACGAGGCACGCGAGCGAGCGATGCGGCTAGGGCCACGAGCAGAAGCAGAGCGCGAGTATGATCTCTCCGCCTCGCTGCTGGGCCGGACTATGGGCCTCATTTCGCTGCAGCTCTCGTCCGAGACGACAATGTTTGACTTGCCGCTGGAGAACGGGCTCCGGCGGATCTGCCACTTCCTCCATCCTCAAGATGTGGTGGCACTCGCTTCGACCTGCTACGTCCTCTACGACATCATTCTCTCCGACGAGCCGTTCTGGGCAGCGCTCCACTCTGTGGCGTTGAGTAAGACGCAGCAGCGGCAGCCGCTAGCGTCGTCGCGGCGGATGGTAGCCCAGCCTGCGCTGCTGCGGTCGGCATCGACCGACGGCTTCTTCCTCGGTTCGCGTAAGATGCCTTCGCACGAGGATATGCACGTCTTCTTTGGCGACGACGAGCTCGCGCACAAGCCGCCGCCCAACCCCAACCGCAGAAAGGCAATCCGCTCTGCGGCGCTGACCGCTGCTGCCGACGCGGCCTCGCAGCCACGGGCCTCAAACTCGATCTGGGACGTGGCGCCGTCGTACAAGGCCTACCGCGCGCTTCAGCTCGACAAGCTCTGGGCTGTCTTTACCACGCGCGAACTCCCGCTCGCCATCCTCGATACAAACCTCCTGCAGGCCTCCGAGTTTTCACTTCACAACCTTTCGCGGTGCGACGACACGGCGTCGTCCGAGCTTTCGTCGGCGGAGTACTACTCGTCGTACTACTCCTCGGACGACGAGGCCCCGTCGTGTTCTGACCTTGTCTACGCTGGCAGCAACACGCAGATCTCGAGCTCATCCTGCTCCAACTCGGAGTGCGACGGCTTGTCGGCGCCAACGACACCGTCGCCGTCTACCTCGCCCTTGATTGCATCCATCCCTGATCCAATGGACGAGCCTTTGCAGGCCGGACGTGCAGCCATCCCGGCGATGGAGCTGGGCGGCATGCTGGAAGCATCAGCGAGCTCTGGCTCATTCCATCTCTCGCATCTTCCGCTTGCACCGGCGAACCCACTTTCCAGAATCCGCAACTCGCCAGATGTGGGGCCGTACACTCCGCGACGGCGGCATCATCGTCGGCGTCACACGCCGCGCGTCGGTGCCGCCGCCGGCGGTGGCAGCAAGGAGGATGAGGCTTGGACCAAGGACTCGGAGTTGCTACTGGCGTACACGCTGCGGACTGGAGCCCATACTCGGTACCGTGGTGGCGAGCGGCGATCACTCGAGGCGGCGCGGATGCTTTCGGCGGCATCCCTGGTGGCGTCGCCATCTGACTCGGCGCTGGAGGAGCGCGCGGCGCGGTTTGAACTCATTGCGCAGCAGCTGTTCTGGGCGGCGCTGGCGAACCGGCCGCGGGTCATGTCAGCGGTGCTCAACACCAACGTCCACGTGGCGTCGGACGAGCGGGTCATGCTCCTCAATGCGCACGTCCCACGCAAGCTCATCGGCCGCATTCCGGTCCTAACCGACCGGCCGCCGCCGCGGTCTGTGTTTGGATCCGACGACGCGGCTCGCTGCTCTGAGCCTGCGCTTCACACCTCGCAACTGCTTCGGGCGCTCTCGCTCGACGTGACATCGAACCATGTGTGCGAGAGCGAGGAGGCCATGACTGCCCTGGGACTCGACGGCCTCGGCCCGGACCGGATCACAACGCTGCTGTTGGAGGCGATTGTGGCAGGAGCGACCGACACGGCGCTGTATCTGGTCCGACTCCGCGATGTCAACGTCAACGTGCCGTACTCGCTCCCACCGCTGCATGTGGCGACGCTGTACTCACGACCGCTTATTGTCCGCGCGCTCCTTGATACGGGCATGGTCAACGAGGAGTACTTTGAGTCTACCGGACTTGTCTCGCCGCTGCACGTAGCTGCAGCGCGGGGGGACATGCGGACACTCCACGTCCTCCTTGCCCACTCGAACATTGACGTCGACACACCGACGCCGATCCAGGGCGTGCTCGGCGGGCTGTACACCCCGCTCATGCTCGCGGTCTCCAACAACCACATCCGTGTAGTGAAGCTCCTGCTTCACGTTGGCGCCTCACCGGATGTGCATCGTGCTGATGGCATGACTGCGCTCTTCATTGCCGCCCATGCCGGCTTTGACGACATTGCCAACCTCTTGCTCGACGCCGGCGCGTCGACCTCGCCGCCGGCTTCGTCACCGGGCTGGTGGGACGTTGTCGCTCGCGGCTTTCTCACCGATCTCCGCGAAAAGTGTCTCGGCGGGACCGGCGTGGTCGTCGACGAGGGACTGGTGCACTACAGCGATGGCGGCGGCGGTCTCACTCGTCCGCGCGCCTACTCGCACTTGCCGGCCAAGACGCTGAGCAAGTCTCCATCGCTGTACGGCCATCTGGAGAGCTCCAAGTGGGCCCGCGAGTCGTACGGCCCGCGGCCGAATCTGATGGACGTGGCCGAGCGGGTAGAGACCCGCAAGCGAGCGTTGACACTCGCGAGTAGTGTCAGCCGCGGCCGTGACACGTCGGTGTCCGGATGAGGAAGAGTGCCGGATATCGTTTGTCGTTTGTTGATGGGGGGGGGGGGGGGGGAAAGAAACACTTCACTGCACGCACACACGCGCGCACGCGAGAGGCATGAGAGCCACGCAGGGCACCATTTGCAATGCAAGTGCAGCCAGGCAGGACGAGCCCAAGAGAGTCGTAGGTCGTGACCGGGGAAGCGCGTAAAAGAAATGCACAACGGTGACGCGAGCCCAAGCCGCAGAGAGTAGGGCGGGGGGCAAGGTGCTTGTCCAGGACAACATGGAAAAGCACACCGATTGAGACGGGTGGGCTGACGAGAGAGCAGGCCACACAGCAGACAGTGGAGGTACGTGGAGTTGAGCAGCGGTGATGGAGACAGCGGAAGCTGGTGCTAGTTAGAGGAGGTGCGCACGCTTGGCGGGCGGGGCGACGTCTTCGGAGTTGTCGTCGTAGTTGTTGGCGGAGGCCTCAACCTCGGGCTGGGCTTCGACTCCCGAGTCATAGTCTGCGATAGGCGCCGGGGTTGCAGTGGTCTGCTCCGGCGGGGCGACGGCGTCGAGCAGGAGCGACGAGATGCCATCGTCGGCTTCAGGGATGGGCTTGGCGGAGCGCGGCGGCGAGTCTTTGAGCAGAGTGTCCATGGCGGCCGGGCGGAGCGAGGTCCGCGGGCCGGCGCGCGAGTTGGGCTGGATGCCCAGCTTCATCGACGTGGCGAGCTCCTCCGACTTTGTCCAGCACGACGGGGCTGGCCTCGGCTTGTCGAGCGAGTTGGGGATGTGATAGACGGTGTGGGTGAGGCAGAAGACCGAGTGGCAGGTGTGGGGGCGGCGCTTGCGCCGGTTGCCCACGCCGCACTGGATAGGAATGTCGTCGATGGTGTTTGGCACCATGTGGTACTGGTTGCAGTTGGTGCAGTACACGTCGCGGGTGAGGGCCCAGACGCAAAAGTAGCACGCCACCGACGCGAGAGCCTTGGACCTCATGGGCGCGTCGCCGGACCGCCGCGAGCGGAAGCACGAGAGCGGGAGCACGAGGTGGCACTGGTCACACTGGAAGAGCAGGCCGACAGGCTCGCGGTCGAGGTGCGGCTTGAGGCGCTCATAGTGCTCGCGCGCAGCCCGCGACAGCTCGTCCGGGTCCATCCCACGGAGGCGCTCGCGCGCAGCCTCGCGCTTGAGCGACACCGCCGACGGCGTCGACATCCGCGGCGAGTGGCTCCGCTTGCGCTTCTTCTTGCTCATCGGCTTCTTCTTCAGCTGCAGCAGGTCCGCCGCTGCGTTGGCGGCAGACTTGTGGGCAGAACCGGTCATCGCCGCCTGCGCCGCCGCCATCCGCGCTCGCATCTGCGCCTGCATCTGCATCTGCGCCATCTGCATCTGCGCCATCTGCATCTGCATCTGCATCGGGTTCGCCGCAAACGCCGCAGCGTACATCGGCATCGCCGCCATCATCTGCATCTGCTGCGCCGCCATGCGCTGGTAGCCAGGCACCACATGCGCCGGGGCGGGGTACGCCACTCCGTTGAGCATCCGCGGGGCAGAGCCACTCGGGCTCGAGCCCGCCCCTGCCGCATTCACAACAGGCTGCGGCGGCTGCGAACCTTCGCGCACGGGCTCAAGGCAGCCTTTGACCGCTCCCCCTGGGAGCGACCGCGGCGTCGGCGACCGCTCGACAAATCCGGCTCCAGACACCGGGAGGGATGGCTTGGACATAGCAACGTTACGCGGTGACGGCTTGAAGTCTACGACTCGAGACATTAACTCCAAGGAAATCTGCGCAATGCCAGAGGCCACACATCAAAGGGGCAGATCCAACAGAGCGCGGGCGAGGACAAAGCAGGTCCGGACGCGTGAAACATGCCGACAAGTCATCGTCATGATGCCGTGCCAGGTCATCCAAAAAAAATCGCCACCACCACCATCCGTCCACGACAGGGAAGCAGCCGACGCGGGGATCACCCGAACACAAAAGCAGGGCGAGAGAGTGAGTACAGTTGTGTGGGTGGAAGGAGAGATGGAACCCGCCGTATAATTCATGCCTCTTTCCCAGGTGTTCAAGCGAGCAAGGCCGAGACTGTGGCCAAGGCTGCGCCTCGCGGGGCGGTAGGAAAGGGGGGGGGGACAGGCTGCGCCAGGCGATACTCCCTTGCCATGCATTCCTATCAAGAGATGAATTGATAAATGGCACGCGATGCCAAAAAAGGTGCTCAGCGGAGAGCCGGTGGTGGAGCGGCAGGAGCGCGAAAGTGGTGGCGTGGCGCCTTGCGGAGGTTGAAGGTTGGCCGAGGGGAGGCTGGAGCGGGGGAAGGGGTGAGGGGGGGGGGAGATAACGAACAGGTTGGAGGTTGGAGACCTGGGCGAATATAACACAAGTCACAGATAGACAATAGTCCTTGTAGGGGTCTGGGGAATGTGGGTGGGTGGGAAGAGGCGGTGTTGTAGACGGGTGGTGGCTGTGGAGCACTTGCCGGTAGCAACACCGGTCGCCGTCAAACAGTCCAAAGGGGCAAAAAATGGCATCGGCTGGCCGGGAACGCTACGCCGGTTTGCCCAAAAGGGCAAAATCGGGTGCTCCAGCAGACCGTCCGGTGGGCGTAAAAAACGGCCAATTTCGCCGTAGCCGTTCGCGCCATCTGTTTTGCCGTTTCGGGCAAAATTAGCAACGCTGCGTCGCGTCAGCCCGCACGTCCACCGGCTGAGGCCTAAAGAACGGGGAAACGATGACAGAGCGACGGAAGCTCGCACAGAGCCAGAGTGACTTGCCGGTAAAGCACTCGTACAAAAATCAGGGTTGGAAAACTGGTCCAAAGCCCCCTACGTACCACCGGCTGAGTGGTGACAGAGGCCATTCTTGGCCGGCGGAATGCAAGCCCGAGACAAACAGGCCCCTGCCGACGGCCGGCTACCAGGCTTTGGTCGAGCTGAGGGGCGTTGCTATTGCTCATGCTAACTACAGAATACCCAATGTATGTTGTCTGGTGTGGTATACGTACGAGTCCTGGTTTCAGAAAGGTGGGTGGGGGGAGGGGGGAGGAGGGGAGCGTTGGTCCGAAGAGTAGTGTATCAGCCCTACGCCCCGGTAGCCATTGCTGGAGCGGGTGGCAGCCCGGCAATGTCCGCCTGTCCAATTGTTCACCGCGGGCCAGCCGCGGCACATTGCCCCACACTGTTCTGATCGGCATATCTAGTGATTCAGAGATGTAAGCGTCGCCAGAGCGGTATAGCTGGTGCAACCTGTCGATTGTGTATAGTTCATGACCATAGCTTTCGTGTGATGCGCCTTGTATGGGCCTTTACGAGGGTGGCCATGATGGATGTGCTCGAAGGCGACCAGCAATGCGTTACGTTTGCGGGCGTTGACCAACAGGCAATACTTGCGGCAATACTGCGGTGTGCGGACAAGTCGCATGCGTCCGCACAAGACCAAAACAGGACAGGGCTAGTTACTTACCGCGGGTTTACGATGTGGCCAGCCCCTGGGTGACCAATAATGTCTGGCAGAAGAGATTGGGGCCGATGATGCGGCCGCCGACAACGATGATGACCCCGAGCCCGAGCCCGAGCCGCCCGATAGGACCAACGACGGCTATGCATTCCTTTGCCTCACGAGCTCGAACGCGAGCTTGGGCTCGAGCTCGAGCTCGAGCCCGAGCTTGAGCTTGAGCTCGACCCAAGCCGCTTGTTCGGCTGGACTTGCATGACAGACACAAAGAGCTCCTGATCGGTGGGCATAGGCGGCGGCGCTGGCGTTGATGAGAGCGCAACCAAGGTGGTGTCATGCTCGAGCGACGAGAGCCGGGGTTTCGCCTGTGCCTCGGGCGAGTGCAGCGTAGTGACAAAGGCCGCAGAGTCGAACGCGTCGCACATCGAAGTCATCGGCGATGCCGAAACCAGCGGCGGCGGCGGCGGCGGGAGGTCCTTGCTCGAGACCACGAAAGATGACAGCTGCGCATCGGGCAAGTCGCTGCTGCCCGCGCTGCCGCCGTCGAGCACAACAAATGGCGAGGTGCCTACTGTGGCCTGATCGAGCGTCCCAAGGTTGTCCAGCTCCATGTCAAAGATCTGGCTGCCGCCAAACGACTCGCCCTCACCAAACACGGCGTCAAACTCGGCCTCGAGCTTTTTGTTCCGCCGCGCGATGAGGATGAGGTCTATGATGTTGCCAACAACAATGGCGAGGACGTTGACGATAATTGCGGCCATCGCCGTTCCGTTACGGAAGCTAGCCTCTGCAAACGTGCCCGACCACAGGATGACCATGCATGAGCCAAGACAAAGCAGCGCGAGCTGGTTGTGGAACATTGTTTCGTATGGCAGGTACCGCGCAAGCTGCATAAACGACATTACAAGAGCAAACAGCGCCACACTCGCCTTGGTCAATGGAGCACGGAAAAAGGTCATGGCCAGCACAACCGCGGCCTTGCGCGCCATGATCCACACCTCGAATCGATAGTTGGCCGGCGAGAACCGCCCCACCAGAAACGCATACCGCAGGCTGAACAGGTCGGGATTGCTCACCCGCTTGAGCCGAGTGAGTAGCGCAAAGACTCCTAGAGGGAGCCCGACGCAGTAGATCGCACTGAAGAGGACAGCCATGCCAAAGTAGTTCCAGTACCACGTTCCGTAGCAGCTCTTGGCCGGCGCAGCCTCGAGGACCCACCGCCCGTCCTTGTCGCGGCGGCACTGGAGATAGCTCATTGCCATCGCCGCCAGCGGCAGGTACAGCAGCACCATCAGCTGCAGGTAAGCCCGCCGACAGGCATCCCGCAGCGCGCCGACCGTCAGCTTGACGTCCCGGCCCATTCGCGGCGCGAGGTGCGCCTTGTAGGCCAGGAAGCCACAGTAGACAGCGGCAAACGGAAAGAGGAAGAGCAGCGGGAGCAGGACCGTGATCCACCACTTGAGCAGCCACACGTCGTCCGTCACCGTTGCACACTCGGGCGAGCTCAGGTCAAAGTTGAGGTTAAAGAACGAGACCACGTTGAAGAACTGCGCCGCAAAGTTCGACCACGGCAGCTCAAACTGGCCGTACATTGCACTGATCTGCAGCGAGTTGAAGCCAATCATGGCCGCCGCAAACTTGTAGCTCAGCTCCTCCTTTGCGTTGAGCCACACGAGCACACCCACCACAAGCACAGAGAGCAGCATCACCAGCCCCAACAACGGCAGCGTCCGGTTGTCGCACTTGTAGCACTCACCAGAGAGCGCATAGTATCTGCGGGCACACGCCCCACACAGCCGCCCGGTGTAGCCCTTGGCGCACGCAAACGGGTAGCCACCACGACACGCCCGCGCGTTCGGGCACTCGAGGAACACACCCGGCTCGTTGGTCGGAAAGTAGCCCGGTAGAGCCACAGGCATCGCCAGCCCGCCGTCACACCGTGCACCCTCGGGGCACTCGATGCACGGCTCGTTGATCTCGCGGAGCATCGAAAAGTAGCCCGGAATACAGGTACAGTTGAGTCCGCCACCGGCCACAGGCACAAAGCCCTGTTCAACCTGCGCGTTGACCGGGCACGTGAGACACTCGGTCGCCCCGATGCCGGTCAGAACGGTCGACTCGGGACAGATCTCGCACGGCTCCAGCGAGGTCTCGGCAGAAACCGTGCCCTCGGTGCAGAGAGCGCACTCGAGGACGGTCGAGCCTGACTTGACCAGCGCACCCGAGCCGGGCAGGCATGCCTGCACCACAACCGAGCCACTGATTCGTGCACCCGGCGCAAGCTCCAGCGACATCGCAGACCGCGCCACTTGCACATGCAGTTCGACTGCCACCCCAACGTCGGCACCGATCCGCGCTGCCACCCCCACGCCCGAAAAGGCAAGGACTTCGGCATCCAGCGGCTGCTGTCGCCCAGAGCCCACAAACGCATACGCGCTCTCGAGCGAGAGATCCGCGAGCTCCATCGCCACCATCACTTGTGGGTCGACCACAACCTGGCCAAAACCGTCGAGGGCCATCACTTGCCCGGCGCCCGCGCCAAAGAGCGTGCCTGACGAGATGACCGCCGGGAGGCTGCTAACCCACGCTAAAGACACCAACGGGCCGCCAACCAGCGGCGCGTACCCAACCGCGTCGACAACAGCAGGCAAACTCGCGTTGACCACGACCTCCATCGCTGGCGCGACATCGATCCACGGCGCGCTCCGCAGGAAGCTGCCATAGCTGGTGCTCACCTCCGGCGCTGTGCAGCATGGGTCAGACCCAGACGCGCAGTAACCCGCTTGTGCGTGGCAGACAAAGAACATCCCTGTGGCAGGCAGCATCTGCTCAACAGCTTTTGTCGGGTCCAGCTCAAACGGTTCGTTCCCCGAGCCGGCCAGCACCACCCTGGCACCACAGGCAAATCCAACCGCGCCGTACACTGCCCGGTTTCGCACCAGTGCAGTCTCTCTTATTTCCACCACTCCGCGTTGGACGCATCCAGCTGGTTCACTCCCGACAGGCATCGCGAGCGCCTCCAGCGATGAGCTTGATGGCTCGATCGGAAACCCGTTCGCCGACGTCACCCCGCGCAGGTACTGCGACTCGGAGGCGGCAGCCACGGCACCACCAAACGATGCCTCGTTTTCACGCATCTGAGCATCAGCGCTCGTAAACGAGCCGCCACCAACCACCGCCAGCGCACCGCCGAGCCGTCGAGCCGCATTTGTCACAATCACTGCCCCGCCGTCGAGCCGACCGTCGGCCTGCTGGCCGGCAAGCATCATGCCACCGCCGTGGTGGCCAGCCATGTTGTCGACGACTGACGTACCGCCGGTGACGTCGAGTCGAACAGTCGCACTCACGCCGTGGGCCTCGAGCGCAATGGCGCCGCCAGACTTGGCCGCGCGGTTGCGCGCCAGCTCTGCATTCCCGCCCACCCACAGCCTACAGGCCGAGCCCTGAATAGCCTCGAGCAGTAGCGCGCCACCCGAGCCCTCGGTGGCCTCGTTCTCATTAAGCTCACTCGACTTCACCCGCACGTCTATCTCCGCGGACTTGATCGAGTGTGCGTGGAGCGCTCCTCCGCCGTCGCGCACAACGTTGCGCGAGAGCACGCTGCCCGAGACCTCAATCTCTATGTCGCCACGGATGGCGGTGACCGCAAGAACGCCACCGACCCGTGCCGAGGTGAACGACGGCGAGACGCCGGCCGCGGAGTTGTCGGTGAGCATGGAGTTGTTGATGACAACCCGTGACGTGCCACCCGACGACTCGACAAAGATACAGCCGCCCGATACCTCGGCAGAGTTCCAGGCGCAGACCACACGCTCGAGTTCGACGTGGACGTCTGCACCGACTGCCGCGACCGCGCCACCCGAGCGGTCGGCAGTGTTCGACGCCAGCACGCTGTCGTAGGCCACAAGCGACGCGCTGTCGCGGAGCAGGATGGCGCCTCCAAAGCCAAAGGTCGGCGATGCCACGGTGGGATCGTCGCCCTGGCGGGCAGTACAGTTGGCGAGAGTGACGTTGCGGAGGATAACAGTGCCGTCGGTCACGCCGAGCACTGCACCGCCAAACTGGACTGACGTCGTTGTGGCGCGGACAACGGTCAGGTTTTCCAGCTGAATGACAATGCCCGGTTCGGAGGATGCAAACAGTGTACCGCCGCCGGGTCCACAGTCGACAACGACATGCCCGATGCCCAGGAGATGAACCGACCGCGAAAGTACATGCGGTTGGTCCTTCCAGCAGCCAGAGTACGTGCCTTGCGGTAGCTCAACAATGTCGAGGTTGTACGTGCCCGGGTGGCGGACCATAGTGTCGACGACGCACGTCAGCGTGTAGCCGCACGTCTCAACCGGGACCCGGAACCGGGCCGGCGCCCGCAGAGTGCGGAAGACCGAGTTGATGCCGGCGTACCCTGCCGACCGGGTGTATGTCCACTGCGAGGACGTGAGCCAGTCCGGGTAGCCGTCACCATCAACATCAAGGACTTGCGCGTAGTTGGCACGTGTTTCGGAGGCGTACTTGTTGCGGATGTCGTACCACCGGTTGACGATGCGGAGCCGCGACCGACCGGCCGATGAAGACGTGTCGTCAAACTCGGTCTCGTTGTACATGCCGCCGACGTTGAGGTAGAGGACGACACTGCGCGAGGTTGGAAATGCGATGATGTCACTCCAGCCATCGAGGTTAAAATCGGCCACTGCCATGCCCACCGTCGTTGCCGGGCGGTCTTCGGCGGCCGGGCTTAGGTCGCGCCACTCGGCGTACTGCGGGAGGAGGATGCGGGGCGGACCGAGAAGCGGCGCCAACGGCGTGCCCAGGTTCACGGCATACGCTGCGTTCTCAACCCACTCGGCACCGGTGACGAGGTCAACAAGACCATCGTTGTTGAGATCGATGGCACAGAGTGTCCAGATGTCACCGGTCCTGTCGGGTTGGAGCTCGACAAACGGCGCCATGCCCCACGGCGCGCCTGCCACGCTCGGCGCGGACACGCCTAACATGACCCGGTCGGACTTGTAGCAGGCGACAAGCACGTCGGGCGCACCATCGCCAGTCATGTCGGCGGCCGCCATGTCATGTGCAAAGTTACAGGTCTCATCCGGGAGGGCGGCGAGGACGTACGGGTCGTCAAAGCGGCCGCTTGCGGATGCGTTGCCCGGCAAGAGGCCGACGGTGCCCGCGACGCCGGCGAGGAGAAAGACTGAGTACACCGGGTCCGAGCTGTTGGCCAGCGGTAGCAGCTGGCCATGCATTCGGTGAACGCCGACAAGATCCGGCGCGTCGAGGGTGGTGTTGGCGGTGATGATCACCACGTCCTCGGCCCGAAAGTAAAGAGGCGGCCCGATGTTGGGAATCCAGCCGATGGTGTTGTGCTGGTAGCCGGTGGCAAAGACCACGTCTTGCACGCCATCGTTGTTGACGTCGGCAGACTCAAGGGCGACGACTCGACCGCCGAGCTCGAGCCAGACGTCGTACGAGACCTCAAAGGTCGGCGAGTCAAAGAAGAACCGCAGCCGTCCACTCTCTTCGCTCGCCGGGTGGTAGATGACAAAGTCGACGTGGGAGTCACGGTTGTAGTCTGCAGCGGTCGAAGCTGAGATGTACATCTCCTCCAGAGGATCACGGTCAACGAGCTGCGAGGCCTTTCTCGCGCCGGGGTAGCCGAGGTTGGGAAGAAAGGCAACGCCACGAGTGGTGGGAAACATGATGTCGATGTAGCCGTCAGTGTCGACGTCGACAAGGGCAAGGCCCTTGACCGCTTGATTTGCGCCCTGATTCCGCTCAAAGACGCGGATGATGGGTGTGTCGCGGAAGGATGTAAAAGCCGGCGCTCCGCTCGTGTCGGGCCCGAGGCCCATAAAGTTGTAAATGTAGAACTCGTTGGCCTGGACAACGAGGTCGACGTGGGCGTCCTCGAGTGGGTTGAGGTGACCGACGACAACATGCATCGAGGTGAAGAAGTTCGCCTCCTCGGCCGGGTATGGGCTTGCCACCAGCGTCCGCACGAGCTGCGAGAGCGAGTTGTTGACGTTGCGATAGGCATAGACAGTGTAGTAGTCGTTGACGACAATGTCCAAGCTTCCGTCGGCATCGATGTCGGCGACGGCGAGTGTGTTCGGGAGAACGAGGCCGTCGGCAACAACAGTACGAGTGGTGGTTGCTTGCGTTGCGGTCGCCCACGTGTCGACCGAGTAGACTGCGATGTAGCCGGAAGTGGTGGCATGCTGCCAGGCAACGACGACATCGCGGGCGCTGCTAGAGCCGGCAAAGTCGACAAGCTGCATGGCATGCGGCTCATCGCTGGGATCGAGGCCGGACCCGAGGTTTGTCGGCGTGGAAAAGTTGGCGCCACTGCCCGGGACGGCGCCGGACCCTGCAGCAAACGAGCGGACGAAGACAAGCCGCGAGTTCGACCCGCCGACAGCGATCAGAATGTCGACGTCGCCATCGGCGTCGCGGTCACCAAAGAGCGAGGCGCGCGGGATGCCACTCAGCGGAACGACAAGCTGCTGATAACCGTAGCGCGGGGTGGCGACAGCAAGCGAATGGCCAGTGCCTGGTCCGGACGTGACATAGAGCGAGAGCGAGCGCGAGTTGGTGGTGAGGTGGATGGTGGCAACGTCGCCGACGCCATCGCCGGAAAAGTCGTCAATGGAAAAGACATAGGACTCGCCGCGGACTCCGGCGACGTGGCCGACAGGTCGATTGAGGTCGAATATCCGGCCCGGGAGCTCATACAGCTGGTTGCGATAGTAGTGGATGGAGCGCTGGATGTCAAACTTCCAGTCGTAGTTCTGCATGTTGTCAAGGCCGACAATATCGGGCAAGCCGTCGCCGTCCATGTCGATGATCTTGATGGAAGTGGCATTGGTGGCGCCGGGCGCATCAAAGAGTGATGCGATGGAGAACTGGTTCGAGGACTCGTCAAAGAGGAAGCAGAAGATGCGATTGTAGAGAGCGGTACCGCAAGCGTCGAGGTAAGTGTCGTTGTTGATGTCACCGACGGTGACTCGCCAGGGATTCTCGACATCGTAGTTGAAGTCTGTGTACGAGCCATCGCCCTCGTTGCGGCGGTAGGCAACAACGTCAGGGTCGTACTCGGCAAAGACAATGTCAATGTCGCCGTCGCGATCAACGTCTTGGAACTCGACGGACCAGATGTCCTCGCGGCCGATAAGGGTATCGGCGACGGGCCCGGGGGCGTAGAGCTGTGTGTTGTTGGCGGCAACGTTGGGGAAGAGCGGCATGGTGCCGTGCGAGCACGTGAGAATGATGTCAAGCATAGAGTCCATGTTGTAGTCGACGATGTTGATGAAGCGGCAGTCGGAGTGGTCGGCGAGGTCGTTAGTGATCTCGACGCTGGGGTACGTAGCATCAAAGACGCCCGGGGCAGCAGCGTGGCGGTAGAAGACGCACTCGGAGCTTGTAAACCAGGCCAGGTCGTTGAAGCCGTCGTTGTTAAAGTCTGCAACAGCGACGTCACGGATGTAGCCGCACTGCGAAGTGAACGAGTACACGGTGTTACGAGTCTCGTCAAAGACGCCATCGCCGAGGCCACGGTACCAGGTAAGATGGTGATTGTAGCCCGAGTGGGTAGAGGTTGCCCAAGATGACCAGAACATGTCCTTGATGCCGTCCGTGTCGAGATCGAAGAAGCGGACGGTTTGATGCTTGTTGGCAAACACCCGCTTCTTCTCGAACGAGTTTTGGTGATCACCAATGATGGTGTTGACGAGGACTGGTGTAGCGCCTGTGAGCATGCCGTGCGCGACGCGGATGCCATCCGACTCGATGGTGACAACATCTGGGATGCTGTCACTGTCCAGGTCGCCGACCCAGCCACCGCCGGTGATGTCGAGGGCGGCCAGTGATCCGGCGTCGCGGCTCAGCGGGACGGCGAACGAGTCGGCCTGGGTCGCCGCTCCTCCCATCACTGCAGCCGGGCATGCAGAGAGATTGGATGCGGCGTGAGCAGGTGGAAAGGGCGAGACGTAGCCGTCAGGCGCAGGCGCGGTTGTAGGAACGGTACCGGCTCTCGGAAAGGATGACGGTACCACGACGACGCCGTAGTTTGAGATAGCGGCCAGATCACGATGTCCATCGCAGTCAATGTCAACAGCCACTGGAACAAACCCGCCAGAGGCATAGAGCGTCGAGCCAAACAGTGGATGGTAATGACGGCCATAGTGAAGAGGCTGCGTTGTCGGCTGTGTGGCAGATGAGGTGCGTTGATTGAAGGGCGTTTTTTTTTTTCCGCCATGCTTTCCCGTGAGTTTCTCATTTCGAGAGGTTTGCTTGCTATCACTGACCATGCACGCTGCAAGCCGGGCTCTCGGGGAAAGTGGGAGGAAGTGGAGGGGAGTGCAATGCTAAGGGCTGCGGAGAGAGGAGGAGAAGAGGGAGGACGTACTGGCGGGGGTAGAGTGACTGAGAATGCCAAGGAAGAAGAAAAGGTTGCAATTGACAGCACAAGGATTGGGAGCACGGCTGTGGAGAGGGCCATGACCGGCCGGGGGCGGTGGCGTCTGATCGGACGGTGAAGTGGTTCAAGTCGAGCTGTACCCACGCGGCGCGGGAGCTTTCAGTTGCGACACCAGACAGAGAACTCGACTAAGGGGTGTGACAAGAAAGGGCAGAGGTTGTTCAAGATGATGCCGATGATGGGTGAGCGGTGGAAGGCGAAGGGTGAGCGGGGTCATCAGCAGTGTTGTCGGCGACGATGCCGGTGTGGGGTTCCGGTGCATGGTCGGCATCGAGGGAGAGGGGTAGGGCGGGTGCGGCGGCGGCGGTGGCGGCGGCCTTGGCGTCACGGCCGGCGTTGAGGCCATCGAGGAGGACACAAGCCTGGCAGAGGCCGTCTCTGGCAAAGCCCGAAGTGATGTAGTTGCATCTGGAGCACTCTGTGAGGTTTGCGGCGTTGGTTGCGGCGGTGGGGACGACGAGGTGCTCTGCAGCGCGGATGATGTCGATGATGGCCGAGGGGCGGACGCGCTCGAGATCCTTGAGATACTGGCGGGCAAAGCCGCGGTAGGCGTTGGGCGAGTAGATGCACTCTGTGGAAAAGTAGACCAGATCTTTGTAGTAGGCGTAGAGAACGATCTCCTTTTCGTAGCAGTACTTGAGCGGCTTGCAGCGCGGGACAAAGTTATCAGAAGAGCCCGAGGTGACGATGGAGACGCAACGGCCAAGACGGGAGATGTCGCCGCGGAGGATGTTCATGAGGACGGTCTCGGCCATGTCGTCTGCGTTGTGGCCGGTGACGATGCAGTCTGCTTGCTCGAGCAGGGCGCCGCGATCGAGGGCCTGCCTGCGGAAAACACCGCAAAAGGTGCAGTTGTTCTTGAGACCGATCTGTGCAACGACGTCGTCCATGGACCACCCGTAGAGGTCTGCGTAGGAGAGGATGCGGAGATCCATGCCGTAGTCGACCTTGTTCTGCTTGACCGTCTCGAGCGAGTCGTCACGATATCCGGTGATGCCCTCATCAATGGAGAGGAGGAAGAGATCCAGACCGTAATCATACTTTTCATTGAGAACCTTGAGGACATAGGCGAGGACCGTCGAGTCCTTGCCACCAGAGGCACCAATGGCTACCCGCATGCCCCGAGTAAAGAGCGAGTGAGCGACAATGGTGGCATGGACCTCGGACTCAAACGCGTCAAAGAAGCACTCCTTGCACACCTTCTGCCCCGTCTTGGGTCGCACAAGTACAGGTGGTACACTTGTACATGCCTGACACACAATCTTGGCCATCTCCTGCTGCAGGTGGGATGGGGAGAGGTGTGCTTGTGGCGACCGTGACCGTGATAGTCATTGATGGCCAACAGATCAAAGTCGTCCGAAGCGCTAGAGGCCGCGATGAAGTCGGGTGACCACACAGCCTCGGTTACCGACCGAGCGGTCGCTCCACCGGCCCGATGGCATGAGATCTCCTTGTATTGGCTGTGCTGGCCTTCAGTGTCAGCTCATCGTGCCGGTTGGCACAGTGCCCCGCGTATACATGAGCTGCAGCCGCGCGCTCGCGCACACCCGAGGCCAATCAAGGCCATCGGAGCTCTTAGCAAGCAAAGTACCAGCCGCCAGTGTTAGCAACTCGTAGCAGTCGCGTCGTTAGCACACCCATCGTCGGCAACTTGTCCATTCTGCCAGCGGATCAGGCGGTGTGACGTTCCGCTACCATCGCCAGTAACCTGTGGAACTGGACTCTATGCCATCGGTCTGATCATCAGACCATGATGGCAACACGAGTTGAGCGACGAGGTGATAAAACAGGCTTGGTCCTTCGAGCCTTTGTTGTATGATCGTCGACATGGACTTGGTTTTGCCTTGGTAGCCCGGATCAAGACCACGACAGCCGCCCATGAAAGAGACGAAAGGCGAACGCTGTGTGTGCTCAAGGCTTTGGGCCATGGGTGTGTCCTAATTGCAGGATGGGATACATGACCTTGGCAAGTAGTTGGAAATTGCATGCATGAGTATGTGTGTGGACGATGCGATGCGAATCGAGTCTTGCATCTGCTTCCTCCATTACCTTTGCGGTTAGGAGTGTCCCACCCCCTCCATCATCATCCAGACGTGAACGCGACACGGCGAATGACGACCTTGCTGACGACGACAGCCGCGACGACGACGTCACCAGGTCTGCCACCACTTTTCTTCCATACACACTATGGCGTACGTATAACCCCACCCCATCCCCCTTCTTCTCCTTCCCATATACAGTGCACTCTATATGTGTGTGAGTATGTGTGTGAGTATGTATGTGTGTGTGTGTGAGCTGGTGATGGTGACGGCAGTGGTCGTGGTGGCGGAGGGCGGTGTGTGACCCCCCCCCCCCCCCCCCCCCCACTCCCCACACGTCATGGTGACAGAGGCAAGAACGGGGGGGGAGGGAGGGAGGGTGGGGGGGCAGGAGTTAGGAGTATGGCAGGAGTGAAGAGTGTGGAGAGTATGTGGGCTTGAGAAACTTACTCTGAGAGTGGATTGGGTCTCATGTTGGCTATGACTGTGGTGGTGGCTATGGCTGCGGTGGTGGTGACTGTGGTGGTGGCTGTGGGCTGTGGGCTGTGGGCTGTGACTCTCGCCTTGGGCTGTGACTCTCGCTTTGGGCTGTGGTGGTGGCTGTGGGCTGTGGTGGTGGCTGTGGGCTGTGGTGGTGGCTGTGGGCTGTGGTGGTGGGCTGTGATGACGGACTGTGGTCTGTGATGGCGGACTGTGGGCTGTGACTCCTCTCGTGCAATCGTGTGACGCGCCCAACTCTCTGCGAGCAGTGCCACTACCCTCAACAACGAGCAGGCGCTCGCTTACTGCGTCAACAAGTGGGATGAGACCATCATCCCGACGCTCTCGGAGTACATCGAGATCCCGAACCAGTCGCCCGACTACGACCCCGAGTGGGCAACGAACGGGTACATGGACCAGGCCGTCAACCTCATGGTCGAGTGGGTGAAGAAGCAGGACGTTGCCGGCCTCGCCATCGAGGTTGTCAAGGACGAGGGCCGCACGCCGCTCATCTACATTGTCATTGACGCCTTTAACGGTGGCCCGAGCGAGAACACCGTCATGCTCTACGCGCACCTCGACAAGCAGCCGCCGATGACCGAGAACTGGTCCGAGGGCCTTGGCCCGCACCTGCCGGTCATCCGCGACGGCCGCCTGTTTGGCCGCGGCGGCGCCGACGACGGCTACGGCATCTTTGCCTCGATCACCGCCATCAAGGCGCTCCAGGACCAGGGCGTCCCGCACTCGCGCTCGGTCATCCTCGTCGAGGCCTCGGAAGAGTCCGGCTCGACCGACCTCACTCACTACGTCACCTCGCTTGCCGACCGCATCGGTGCCGTCGACTTTGTCGTCTGCCTCGACTCGGGCACCGGCGACCTCCAGCACCTCTGGTCGACCACCTCGCTCCGCGGCGTCGTCAACGTCAACCTCAAGGTCGACATCCTCAACGACGGTGTCCACTCGGGCGCGGCGTCGGGCATCGTGCCGGACTCTTTCCGCATCGCCCGCATGCTCCTCAACCGCATCGAGAACCCTGAGACCGGCGAGCTCATTGGCGCCCCGTTCCACGTCGACATCCCGCAGACCCGCGTTGACCAGGCCAACGCCACCGCTGGCGTCCTCGGCGAGACCGTGTACTCGAACTTCCCGTGGGCCACCGGCGCTGGGCCGACCACCACCGACTCGGCTGAGGCCATCCTCCGCAAGTCGTGGAAGCCGACGCTTTCCGTCACCGGCGCCGACGGCCTGCCGCCGTCGGCTGTCGCCGGCAACGTCCTCCGCGCCTCGACCACCCTCAAGCTCTCCTTCCGCCTGCCGCCCACCGCCGACGCTGACGCCGCCTCGGCCTTTATCGTCAAGGAGCTCACCCGCGACCCGCCCTACGGCGCCACCGTCACCGTCTCGGGCGACCACGGCGCGTCCGGCTGGGAGGCCCCGGCCGAGGCCGAGTGGCAGCTCGCCGCCATGCACGGCGCCTCGCAGGCCTTCTACGGCAACGACGCCATGTTCATCGGCGAGGGCGGTTCTATCCCCTTCATGGGCCTCCTCGGCGAGCGCTTCCCCTCGGCCCTCTTCATGGTCACTGGCGTCCTCGACGGCATCTCCAACGCCCACGGCCCCGACGAGTCGTTCGACCTCGACTTTGCCAAGAAGCTCACCGCCTCGGTCGCCTTCATCATCGCTGCCCACGCCTCCAAGTAGCTCTTGAACCCACGCGCATCTGATAAATGCAGCCCTAGTGTGTGGTCCGACCGCCACCTCTCCCGCCACCTGTTATCCTTCGCCTGTCGTTTGCCGCCTGCACCGCTCTCTTCCTTTCACCACCACCGGCTCGAACCGCCCCACGTCCGGCCCCACCCATGTCGCTACAGGCAGCAGAGGCCAGCCCCCTTCTTGTCTCCAACACCAAAGCCGTGGAATCTCAGCACACAGCACCGTCAAGACTAGTACGCGACAGCTGATGATGAGTAGTAGCCAGGCAGAGGGTTGAGCAAGCAGCTGCCACTCGGCCTCGGGCTCGGCCACGGCCACGGGCTCGGCCACGGGCTCGGGCTCGGACCGGCCGAGTTGTCACTCACACATCACCCCATCACATGGATGGCGACGTTCCAATGACAGACAAACAAGACACTTGCGTTGTATGTCCTGCCATCGTTTGCCTTTGCGGCTTCGCTCAACTTTCTCAACACCTATCAGTTCCGATACTACTCGGATGAGTACCACGTCCCACTCCGCAACCTCAACATCGCTTTCCTTGGCTTGCAGCTGGTGTTGTTTGTGGGCATCCCAGTTCTAGGTTGGATCACCGATGTGACGCAGACCAGGTTTGGCCGGCGGCGGCCGTTTATCGCTCTCTTTGGTCCACTGCTCATGGCCATTCTCTTCCTCGGCATGTATCCCATGATCACCAGCTCGGTCACGATCCTCACCGTCTGGTTTGCCACCACATACGCGCTCGAGTGCCTTGTCACCCTCCTCTTCCTCTCACCGTACCAGGCACTGGGCATCGAGCTCACCCTCGACTCTGCCGAGCGCAACCGGCTTTTCGGCGCAACACAGACGTTGTACCAGCTGGGCGTCATCGTGTCGACCGCCGTGCCTGAGGCACTGGCGTCAACCGTCGCGTCACGCCGCAAGGTCTACATGTTGTTCGGCGGTGCATCGGGCATCCTCGGCTGCGTCACCATGCTCACGCTGGCATTCAGCGTCTCGGAGGCCTCATGCTTTGTGATGGAGAAGCGGACACCGCTGATCCCGGGCCTCATTCGGACGCTGGCCAACCCTGCATTTGGCATCCTCCTTGCCACCATCACCCTCCTCAACTGCCAGCCGTACTTTCTGGTCCTCCTCCCGTACTGGGTCAAGTACTCGCTTCAGCTCGACTCGTTCTGGCAGGCAGCCATCATGACGACCTACATGACCGGCGCCTTTGTCTTTATTCCGTTCTGGACCTGGCTGGCCGGGCGGATTGGCAAGAAGCGAACGTACCTGCTGTCGATGGCGGTCGCCGTGGTCGCCTTCTCGGCGCTCTTGCTGGTGCACTCGGGCGATAAGATCGGCGCGGCCATCGCCGCTTTTGCCGCCGGCGCTACCGGGCTCTCGCTCAACTCGTACAACTTTCTTTTCCAGTCGATCCTCGCCGACCTCATCGAGTACGACGCACTGCTGACGGGCTACCGCCGCGAGGCGCAGTACGCCAACATGGTTCAGCTCTTCAATGCGCTCACCTCTGTCATGTCGGTCTCACTTCCGCTGTTCATCATGGACGCTGTCGGCTTCAAGGCCGACGTCGTCCAGCCCGAGCGAGTCCAGACTACCATCACGCTGCTCCTCGGCCCGGGCTGCGCTCTGTTTGTCGCTCTCGCAGCCGGCGTCTTTACCTTTTACCCCATCACCTCACGGGTTCATGCTGCCATCCGTGCCGGCCTCGACGCACACGCCGCTGGCAAGCCCGCCGACGATCCGGTCACCGGCACCGTCGTCCTGCCTCCGGCCGCAACCGCCAATCCTGTTCCCGAGGCCACCGCTTGGTTTCTCGACCACTTCTTTCGCTTTGAGCTCCGATGGGCGCTTCTCCCGATCCCACAGCCGTACGCGCTGCTCAAACTTGTCGTTGGCTGGATCGTTCTCTCGTCTGCCGTCACCGCCGGCTCTGTCGCCTGGATCGTCACCGATGTCAACAAGTACCTCGAAGCGGGCGCGTTTGTTGGCATGGTCGCCGTCGCGCTTCTCATCTTCAATCTCTGCCGCATCGGTCCAGCACTCGACTTTGCCTCGGCGCCAATCCCTGTCGGTGTTATTGTGGCGCACACCGGTAGCGGATGACGCCCGACCAATCGCCACGTCGCTCCCTCTCGCCGTCATGATCCCTTGATTGTCTCCCCTCCCCCTTCCGCCTACCATTGTCCTTTGGCCATGAGTATTTCTCGCCATGGACTCTCTGATCCAGAACAACCGCTTGCGCATACCATGAATCGGCGATGTTCGTAGCCTCGCCCGCCTCCGTCTACCACTATCCGATTTCCCCACTACCCTCAAACCACATCCCTCGATAGCCACCAGGCCTATTTCGACCACTCACAAGCATATCTACGCTGTGTACAGAGACATGGCCCCAGGCGAGTCGTCATGATCGCACCTGATTCCTCTCCACTATGCAAATGGTCGGCGACAAACTGGCGACAAACTGGCGACAACCGAGACACTCGGACCAGACCGGAGCAAGCCGACAGACGACGAGCAGCACGTCACTCTCAGAACAGAGCGGTGGGTATGGGCTCCAAGCTCTCCACCAAGAAGCTTCGTCGACTTGTTGAGCGTGGTGATGAGGCCAATGCCTTACTTCTCATTGCAGAGGCAAACAACCGCAACAAGCAGTTGAGTACGTCGACGTAGAAGGAGGCGGGAGGCGGGGAAGAGGCTACGTGGGCCAGGCCATGTGGCGCGTGGAGGGGGGCCGGGCCATGTGGCGCGTGGAGGGGGCATGTTGGGTATGTTGGGCATGTTGGCTTTTTCTTTTTTCTTCCCTTTTTGTTTTTGCAGGTCAACACAAGGAGCGGGGCTGGTCACATGTTACTTGTATGACTGACGATGTGATATGGTGGCTGGTTGTTGACGGCTGGTGATGTGACTGGCGGTGGTGATCTTGCTGGCTCGGATGATCTGGGTGACTGTGGCAGATCTGGGCGTGGTCTTCACGAGTCACGACTCGATCACGCTGCTGCACCTGGCGGCGCTGATGGGCATGCCCAATCTTGTTCGCGTTCTACTCGACTCGGACGCGGTTGACATCAACCGGACGACCCAGAGCTCGGGTAGATCGCCTCTGCACTTTGTGTGCTCACCGACCAAGATGCTGCTGTCGCAGTTTACCCCCGGCGAGCGTGCGGCGGTGGCACGGATCCGAGTCGATCTGGCCAATGCCCTATCAGCTACGCCCGAGACAACGATGGAGATGGCGCTGGCGGCCCTGAGTGCCGGGGACCGCGCTCTTTATTCCGCCGCCGTCCGGCAGGACGCCAACAACCGCGAGGTGCTCGAGCTCCTGCTGGCGCGGGAAGACATCAACGTCTCGTTGGCAACAACAGAGGGAGTCACGCCGCTGCACCAGACCGCGTACGACGGCTACTTGCACGGGATGGAACGGCTTGTTGCGACCGGCCGGGTCGATGCCAGTGCACAGGACGCCCGCGGCAACACGCCGCTGCACCAGGCTGCCATGCAGGGTTTTGACGCCGGCGTCGAGCTGCTGCTCGCCATTGGTCGGACTCGCTACCTCACGATGTCACCGATCAATGTCATGATCCGCAACAACAAGGGCCGTACACCGCTCGAGGCAGCAGCCTCCCGCGGCAAGTGGGCCTCGGTCCGCCTTCTGCTCGAGGCCGGAACCGCGGTCCTGCCGCACCCGGACGACCCAGCGTTCTCTGCGCTCGGCCTGGGCTTTATCCGTGACACGCTCGACGAAGTCATCGACGGTGACGACGATGGGCTCGGCCTCAACGATGACGATGCGTCGTCGGGCTCGCTCTCGGGCGCACCTCCCGAGACTCCCGCCGGCCTGCGCCGACTCGGTCGCGACTGGGCCTACCGCGTCCACGTCTCGGGCTCGGACGGTGGCTCGTCCGACTCGGCCGAGGAGGCCGGCTGGTCACGATCGCGCGCTCGTATGTCGAGCTTTCCCGACGTCGGCACAAGCTCCGATGCAGGCGAGGCCGCGTCGTCGTCGCGGGTCCCTGCCGAGCGGCAGGTCGCGCTCGACACGGCCGAGATTGGCGACGAGCGCGACGATCGCATTCTCGCCGTCGTCGCGGCGCTCGACGTCTCGCCCGGAGCGGCGCTCGCACTGCTGCAGCACAACACTTGGGACGCCGACGCGACCATCGCCTGGTACCTGCGCAACCCGGCTGCGGCGTGCGATGCGTGCGGAATCCTCAACCAGGAAGAGGTTCAGGAGGCGCGTGCGCTGCGCGCCGACACTACCATGTGCCTCATCTGCATGGACGACATCGATGACGGTATGGTGGAGGCAACCGACTGCGCCCACGTCTTTTGTCGCGCGTGCTGGGCGTCGTACCTCGGCGTCGCCATCCGCGACGCCGCTGTCCGTGTGGTCACCTGCCCGGGTGTCGGGTGCGCGGCCCAGGTTGCCGACGCCGTTGTCGAGCGCCTTGTCGAGCCCGAAACCTACCAGCGCTATCTCCGGTTCAAGGTCCAGGCCTTTGTCGACGAAGATCCGCGGACCAAGTGGTGTCCCGCGCCCGGATGCGAGCTCGCTGTCGAGGCGCCACCGACTTGGGTCGTCGACGGACCGGGCACCGAGGAGAGCACCGACGGCGCCGGGCCATCGTCTGACTCGACGCCGCCGTCCGGACACCTCCGGTCCAACGTTCGCAACGCCGAGTGCGGTGCCGGACACACGTTCTGCTTTGCCTGCGCCGGCCCAGCCCACGAGCCGGCGGCGTGCTCGATGCTCCGGCGGTGGGACGACGCCATGTCGCGCAAGCTCAAGCAGCCGAGAAGCGATGAGAAGACCCGGCAGTACCTGCTCAACGAGGGCATTCGGGTCTGTCCCAACCCGGCGTGTGACAGGCTGCTCTCACGCAACGGCGGCTGTAACCACTTTCGCTGCGGCGGCCACGGCGGTGGGACATCCGGCTGCGGCTACGAGTTCTGCTGGGTCTGTCTCTCGCCGTGGCGCGGACACACGTCGGCTATCTGCTCGCGCGGCAAGAGTACGCTCGCCAAGCGGCTGCGTGAGGGCGCAGCTGAGGCGACCATCCAGCGCGACGAGCGCTTCGAACATCACTTTACCCGGTTTCGGACCCACTGGCTCTCGGAAGAGGTGGAGACCAAGCTGCGGGCTGCAACCGAGGAGGTCATCGCCATGGTCCACGACGTCATGCCCGACCGGGTCTCGATGCACTTTCTCCGCCTCGCCTGCCAGGCGCTCATTCAAGCGCGGGCCACGCTCAAGTACGCCTATGTCCGCGCGTACTTTATGCAGGACGGGCTCGAGCTGCGCACCCACGAGCATGCGGTTGCCACCCTAGAGCGGTACGTCGAGAGCCTCTCGGCCGTCCTTGCGCTGCCGTACCAGACCGAACTCAACGTCAGCCATCGCGGAAACATTGCGCTGCTCAGGTTTGCCATGTTTATCTGGCTCTCACGCTCGCGGGTCTGGCGGCTGACAACGCTTGTCGACTCTTGTCGGCGCAACCTGCTCGAGGTCGCCCACGGCGGCCACACCCAGATCCGCCACGTGGCCACCCCGTCGACCTCGCGCAGCTTTCCGCCCGCGCCGCGGTTCATGTCGGGCCCACAATCAGACGCCGGCCGGAGGGCATGCTCAGCCTGTGGCGAAATGCTCCCACGGAGCTCGTTTTCCAAGCGCCAGTGGGCGTTTGTCTCGGCGCGCCGCCGCTGCACCGCATGCATTGTCGCCAACCGGCCGTCGTCGTCCGGCGTGGTCACAAGCGCAAGGCAGGCTGCTTCTGACAACGATTCTGACGACAGCGATCCAGAGCTGGTCAATATCGCCGGCTTGTCATCGGCACCCGGCGGCGCCTCGTGGCACCGCCAGATGTTCTCAACCACGGGTGCACCAGCGTCCGACTTTGACGGTCAGGTTTCATCGACCGTCGTTGTCTCGTCGTCGTTCAAGAGGTCAGCGCCCGTCAAGCTTGCGCATCCCAGCGGGGACGGCGCGTCATCGTCATCGTCTTCGATTCCGGCAGCCCACACCAGCGCCCCGTCTGGCCGTCCCAAGTGGTTCTATGACCAGTACGCGCAAAAGTGGGTCAAGAGCCTCTGATGGCGAGTGCTCCACACAAAGCACACTTGTCTTCAATCAGACGCGGCGGAGAGGGATTGGCGGTGTGGCGATGATACGGTTTGCCTTAAAGCTTGCTTTTCATGGCGGCGCGTTCTGCGGATGGCAACGACAGGCGGCTGCGCCGCTGCCCACGGTACAGGAGACGATGGAGAAGGCATGTGCGGCGCTGATGGGCAAGCACGCGCCTGCTAGTGGACGGATGCACGTGGTTGGAGCGGGCCGGACGGATGCTGGGGTGCATGCGACGGGAATGGTAGCGCACGTGGATCTCCCGGGCGAGGTGCTCTCGCCCAGCCTTGTCAACGACAACGCGACCATGGAGCGTGCGCTGCGGGCGCATGTGCGCAAGGCGATCGGGCGGCGCGACGAAGACATGCTCTCTGTCCTCGCCATCAAGCCGATGAGCAAGCGATGGCACGCTCGGTTCTCCTCGACGGGCAAGACATACACATACTCTGTGGTCGACGACGCGGCCGGCGGCGTTGCTGCCCTGTCAGTCGAGGACATGGCCATGACGCCGTTTGTCTGGCGGCTACCGACCAACTCGCCGCGTCGTCCGCTCGACGTGCCCGCCATGACTGCTGCTGCCGCCGCCATGGAGGGCACCCACGACTTTGGCGCCTTCCGAGCCTCGTCGTGCTCGTCGACCCGGGTTGTCCGCACCATGGACGCCGTCCGCGTCGACGCCAGCCAGAGCGCGGGCGGAGCACGGACCGTTGTCCGCATTACCTGCGCCTCGCGTGCCTTTATGCACCACCAAGTCCGGAACATGGTCGGTGCCCTTGTCGACGTCGGCCTCGGCAAGCTCACCGTCGGAGACGTTCAGGCGCTCCTGCTCCCTCCAGCCGATCCGGCACAGCCGCACAGATCCCGAACTGAGCTCGAGTCCAAGACGGCACCCGCACGCGGCCTTGTCCTCACAGACGTCTTCTACGCTAACCACCCGAAGCTTCCGTTCACCACATCGACCGCCTATGACGCCGACTATGGCCCGTGAGTGTGAGCGGGCTGCCGAACGATGCTGCCACCATGGAGGCTGCTATTGGCAGGGAGGGCGACAGTGATGGCGGTGGCGACGATGATGGCGGCAGTTCAGCAGTTCACCACGACGACCGACGACATCGCTCTCCTTCTTCCCCCCCCCCCCCCCCCCCCGGGGGGTGGCAGTGGGGGGGGGGCAAAAAGCCACAGAAAAAGAGGGGGGGGGCCCCCAAAAAAAAAAAAGCGCCCCCTATTTAAGGGGGCCGGGGGGCGTGTTTTTCCTTCTTGAGGGGGGGTATTTCCCCCTCCCCCCCCAAAAGAAAAAAAAAAAAAAAAATTCTTTTCTTAACCCCGCCCCCCCCCC